AATATTTTGTTGAGGAATTTTATATCTGTGTTTATCAGAGATACTGGCCTTTAGTTCTCTTTTTTTGTGGTATCTTTATCTGGTCTTGGTATTAGTGTGATGCTGGCCTCATAGGATGAATTTGGATGTTTTCTTCCTCTTCTGTTTTGTTTTTTTTTTTTTTTTTCTTAAAAAGTTTGAGAAGAATAGGTATTAACTCTTCTTTAAATGTTTGGTAGAATTCATCCCTCTGAAGCCATCTGGTCCTGGATTTTTGTTTATTGGGAGTTTTTTCATTACCAATTCAGTTTCATTGCTGGTAATTGGTGTGTTCAGATTTTCTGTTTATTTCTGCTTCACTTTTGGTAGGTTATATGGAATTAATTTCTTTCTTTGAGGTTGCCTAATTTGTTGACATGTAACTTTTCATAATATTTTCTTATAGCCCTTTGTATTTCAGTGGTATCAGTTGTTATTTCTCCTCTTTTTTTTTTTTTTTTTTTGAGAGAAAGGGTGAGCAGGGGAGAGGGGCGTGGGGAGGGGAGAGAGAGAGAGAGAGAGATAGAAAAGTTTAAGTAGGCTTCATGCTCAGCATAGACCCTGACTTGGGGCTCGATCCCACAACCCTGGGATCATGACCTGGGCCTAAATCAAGAGTCAAATGCTCAACCGACTGAGCCACCCAGGCATCTCTCTCTTCTTTCATTTCTGATTTTGTTTATTTGAGACCTCTCTGCCTCTCTCTGTCTGTCTCTCTCTTTCTCCTCTCTCAATGAGTCTGGCTAGAAGTTGATCTGTTTTGTTGATCTTTTCAAAGAGCCAGCTCCTGGTTTCATTGATCTGTTCTATTTTTTTTTAATTTTATATATCATTTATTTCTGCTTTAATCTTTTTTAAAGAAATATTTTTTAAATTTTATTTTATTTGAAAATGTTTATTTCTTTTTGAAAGCATGGGAGGGGCAGAGAGAGAGAGAGAAGGATATACAGAATCCACAAGTTTAGATAAAGATATGTGATCTCAGTTCTCAAATATTGTGTGCCTGCTATATGCCAGCTTCTGTTCTTGGCACCAAGAATATGAAGATTAAAACTTGTGGTTCCTGAAAGCCTATTTAAATATGACACCAAAAGCACAAACGACACAAGAAAAAAGATATATTGGATTTCATCAAAATGAAAAACTTTTGTGCTTCAAAGGACACCATCAAGAAAATAAAATGACAACCCACAGAATTGGAGAAAATATAGGGGTGCCAGGGTGGCTCAGGTCATGATCTCACAGTTTGTGAGTTCAAGTTTCACATCGGGTGAGCTCGTGTCTCACTTTGGGTGAGCGTGAGTCCTGCTTTGGGTGAGCTCCACTTCTCTCTCTCTTTCTGTCCCTCCTGGGATTCTCTCTCTCTACCCCTTGCTCACTCGAGCCCTCTCTCTTCTGTCTCTCAAAAAATAAATAAATAAATAATTTTTACAAATCATATATGTGGTAAAGGACTTATATGTAGAATATACAAAGAACTCATACAACTCAATAATAAAAAATTAAATAATCCAATTTAAAAATGGGCAAATGATTTGAATAGACATTTCTTCAAACAAGATATACAAATGGCTGATAAACATATGAAAAGATGCTCAACATCATTAGTTACTAGGGAAATGCAAATCAAAACCATAATGAGGCATCACTTCATTCTTACTAAAATGGTCATGATAAAAAAGACAATAACAAGTGTTGGCAAGGTTATGGAGAAATTGCAACCTTCATACTCTGCTGGGGAGAATGTAGAATGATGTAGCTGCTTTGGAAAATGGTTTGGCTATTTCCCCCAAATTTTTTTCAAGTTTATTCATTTTATTTTGAAAGAGAGAGAGAGAGAGACAGCAAGTGGTGGAGGGGCAGAGAGAGAGAGAGGAAGAGAGAGGGAATCCCAAACAGGTTCCACATTGTCAATGCAGAGTGTGATGCAGGGCTTGAACCCATGAACTGAGAGATCATGACTTGAGCAGAAGTCAGATGCTTAACCAACTGAGCCACCCAGGTGTCCCCACTTCCCCAAATGTTAAACACAGAGTCACCGTAGGACCCAATCTGGAGTATCCTCTGACACCAGTCAACCAATTCTCCAATTCTCTGGACACCAATTGGATCTCAAACTGTTCAATTCTGGCACTAACTATATGGAGTTACTGTCAGATTCCATATATTTAAGGGTTTAGTCCCACGAGACTGCCCCCACTTCAGATGCCAGCTGCAAGTCCCAAGTCACTCATACTTCCGAGTGACTGGCTGTAAATCACAGGCTCCCATGACCCCCTCCTCAGATTTGGTAGTTTGCTAGAATGGCTCACAGAGCTCAGAGAAATATTTTATTTATGTTTTCCACTTGCTTACAAAGGATACAACTCAGGAACAGCCAGATGAGGGGGATGCAAAGGGCAGGGTATGGGCAGAGGGAGAGTGTGTGGGGCATTCTCCCGGGAAGTTCGCGTGTTCACCAACCCGGAAACTCACCATCTCCCCTTCTCATGGCTCAGTGGTTGGGGCTGGCAGTTCCAACTCTGATCCCTGAGGCTTTCTGATGACCAACCCTATCTTGTGGCCATCTAGGGGTCCCTCCCTAAGTCTCCTCACTAGAATTAACTCAGGTGTGCTTGCAAGGGGCTTGTTATGAGTAACAACAAAAACACATTCCTATCGCTTAGAAAATTCCAAGGGTTTTAGGAGCTCTGTACCAAGGACCATAGGCAAAGACCAAATATGTTTTTGTATCCTACTACATCCAGCAATTCCACTCTACCTGTGTACCTGAGAGAAGTGAAAATGTGCCTCCACACAAAAACGTCCATGTGAATGTTTAGAGAAGCATTATTTATAATAGCCAAAAAGTAGAAACAACCCAGATGTCCAGCAAGTGATGGATAAGCAACACATGATGTATCCATACAATGGGATATTATTTGGCAATAAAAAAGAATGATGATCTGATAAATGCTATAATGTGGATGGCCCTTGAAAAGATTATGCTAAGGAAAAGGAGTCAGACACACGGAAAACACATATCCTATGCTTCCATTCATATGAGATGTCCAAAAGAGGCAACTGCATAGAGGCAGAAAGTGGATGAGTGATTGCCAGGGGCTGGGCTGATTGGGGGCGGGGATGGAGAGTGACTGCTAATGCGTACAGGGTTTCTCTTTGTGGTGGTAAAGTATCCTAAAATCATATTGCGGTGATAGTTGCACAACTCTGTGAATACTAAAAAGCAGTGGTTTGTATACTTTAAATAGGACAACTGTGTGGAATGTGATTATATCTCAATAAAACTGTTTTTACAAAGTCCAGCAACTTGGCCAAGGGCAAAGAATTACTGGTAAATAGCTGAGCTGGGACTTGAATCCAGGTCTGGTCTGCACACATCTCTTTCTGTCTGTCTGACTTTCTATCTCAAATATGCCTGGTGTGTTTATCTCAAAAATAACGTGTGTAGAAAAATGGTAATATGTATTACATATATAGAACATTTTATCATCTACCTCTTTAAACATTAATTTTTAAATTTAAATCCAGTACAGTTAACATACAGTGTTGTATTAGTTTCAAGTGTAGAATATAGTGGCTCCACAGTTCTAGACATTACTCAGTGCTCATCACGATAAGTGTACTCTTAATCCCCATCACTTATTTCATCCATTCCCCCCACCTGCCCTCTGGTAACCATCAGTTTGTTATCTGTAATGAACAGTTTGTTTCTTGTCTCTCTCTCTCTTTTTTCTCCCTTTACACATTTATTTTGTTTCTTAAATTCCACATGTGAGTGAAATCATATGGTATTTGTCTTCCTCTGACTTCGCTTAGCATTATACTCTCTGACTCCATCCATGTCATTGCAAATGGCAAGATCTGATTCTTTTTTATGGTGGAATAATGTTTCATTGTGTATACATACCACATCTTCTTTATCCATCCATGTATTGATGGACCCTCGGGTTGCTTTCATATCTTGGCTATTGTAAATAATGCTGCAATAAGCATAGAGGTGCATACATCTTTTTGAATTGGAGTTCTCGTATTCTTTGGGTAAACACTCAGTAGTGCAGTTATTGGATCCTATGGTATTTCTGTTTTTAATTTTTTGAGGAACCTCCCTACTGTTTTTCACAGTGGCTGCACCAGTTTGCATTCCCACCAACAGTGCACGAATGTTCCTTTTTCTCCACATTTTCATCCCTTGTATTTCTTGTGTTGTTGGTTTTAGCCATTCTGACAGGTTTGAGGTGATATCTCATTGTGATTTTGATTCTCATTTCCCTAATGAAGAGTGATGTTAAGCATCTTTTCATGTATCTATCGGCCATCTTTGTGTCTCCTTTGGAGATATGTCTGGGCCCATCGACCTTTTTTAAAAATCTTAAATGGGGCACACCTGGGTGGCTCAGTTGGTTAAGCGTCTGACTTTGGCTCAGGTCATGATCTCACAGTTCGTGGGTTCGAGCCCTGCATAGGACTCTGTGCTGACAGCTAGCTCAGAGCCTGGAGCCTGTTTCAGATTCTGTATCTCCCTCTCTCTCTCTGACCCTCCCCTGCTCATGCTGTCTGTCTGTCTGTCTCTCTCTCTCTCTCAGAAATAAATAAAACGTTAAAAAATTTTTAAAAAATAAAAATTTTAAATGGATTGTGACCATTTTTCCATGTCATGACATAGTCTTCTGTAACGTAAAATTTTAATAGCTACATAGTATCCCGCTGTATGACTGACCCTTAATTCAACCCAGTACTTATTATTTGGATGGTTTCTAATACAGAGCTCTTATCAAACACACTGCTATAAACAGGCTGGTGGGCTCTTTATTTTTGACAGCATCTATGACCTTTTTTCACTGATCAGAGTAGGGTCTCTCTCTCTCTTTTAAAGTTTTGACTGAAGCTCACTGTACATACATCACACATACATGTCATAAAGGTGCGAGTGGACTTATTTCTCAAACTGAACATGCCAGTGTAACCGACACCCAGCTCAAGAAGCAGAACATGCCCAGCACTTCAGAAGCTCCCTTTGTGCCCTCTGCCCTCCAGGTCTGTTTTCTTTTTCGGTTGACTGTCAGGTGGCAATACATCACATTGGCAGATCCAACACCTCCGCTTTGGAGCAGGGCCTGTAAAGACATCACAGATTGCCGCTGAAGGTACACTCACGTCTCTTCTGCTCGTGCCTTGTCTCTCCTGCTTGCAGTGCTCTGATATCTACCAACCTTCACCCTCAGCTGAGTGTCGCCTCTACCTAGAGTTCCCACCATCAGTAGTGGAATGGGCAGCTGGCACGTCGGGCTGGCATGGGGGAATGCATGAGCAGGCGTGTGGTGCCCTTTACCTGCCCTACACCCTTGATGAAGCCAAAAAGGAGCACCTAGGTAGTTCTGAGCAAGGGCCGCTTGTTCTAAACCAGTGGCCTTCCAACTTGGCTGCATATTGGAATCCCTGGGGGTGGGGGGTTTAAATGTAATCATGCCTGGGACCCACCCCCCAAAGATTCTGATTTAATTGGCTTGGGGTGTGGCGTGGACATGGACATGTTTTTTAAATAGCCAAGTGACTCCAGTGTGCAGCCAGGGCTGGGAACCTGTACTCTAAACTCAGATTCTTTTTGGCTTTTGTGGGTGTGCTGCTCAGTGTCAACATCAGCTGTGGATTCAGTGCCACGTCTCGTCGACTCTAATATTTTTGTAATTCATGTTAACTTTTTTTTTGGCTTTCCTTAGAGGATTTGTGCAACACTATTTTGACAGCATGCCACTCTCTCTATAGATTGAACTGACAGTCTCTAAGATGGTTGTGGATATACCGGGTCATTTAGTCTGAATAGGAATTGAAATGTCTTAAAGCAATAATGAGTTATAAAAGTCGCCCCTTAAGCATGTTCGATTTGTTTTCTCATATCTCCTACAGATGATGTGCCTTGGTAAAATAGTGTGATTACTGGAAGAAATGATGGTCTCAGATGGGTAAGTCACACAAGGGAGATTTGCAAAGCCGTGATGCCTGATCCATCCAACTTGTTCCCTGGCTGTTTCCTGCATAGGACACAAGCTTTTGGGAGGGCACTCCCCAGTCTGGGAGGACTTCCCTATATAGGGGCCTGGACAGCATACTTGAAAGACAATTAAAGAGAGTTTCTTTATAAGTTACCTTTAACAGGGAAAAGGAAATGCCTGGTTTATGAGCCAAAACAAATGGAGGCTAGGAGAAATCGAACACTTAAAGTAGAAAAGGAACACAAAGGAGTTCGAGCAAGAAGAGAGATGGGTCTGGGGTAAGTTGGCACTTTCAGGGTATCAAAGTGTCTGGACCCCCCCTCTCAGCCCTGTATAGGGAATGACAGGCTAGCTTTCTATTGGACTTAGAGCAGGACCATTGGCTAGTATAAGCCTCCCACGTACTGACCCATAGGAATTGTGGGCAAGTGTCTTCAGTGTTAGGGTAATAAACAGTAAAAGTAAAAACAGATATGGAAACACGTTCTGATTCCCAAGGAAATGTCAGGCTCTCTCCACTATCACTCTCGTGAATGTTTGCATGAGAATGCAGTTCCCAGGCTGGAGTTCCCAGGAGCCCCATCCTTTCCTGAGGAGGGCTCTGTGGCTCCCGGCCAGGAGATCTGCAGCAGCAGGGCTCAGAGCTGCTGATACACTTGCCCACATGATTTCAAAGCAGTGGTGGGTTCTGTCTTGTATTTATACAGCCAACAGAAAGAATCTATTTTAGAGAAAACAAGCAAAAAAGAGAGCTGAGGGTAGCAATTTCATAGTCTGCTCTGTAATTTAGTGTGGTATTCTCTGTTGAAGGAGAAAATAATCCCTGTGTTAACAGACAGCGGAGAGTGAGACAAGGAAAGATCAAACAGCTTGGACCCTGGTCCTGGAATTTTCATTGTGTTGGGAAGAGAGGGAAACCTTTTGACGTTTTCTTTGTCTATTTTATTTATTTATTTTTAAACTGTTTTATTTATTTTGGAGAGAAAGAGTGCAGGCTGAGGCAGGACAGAGAGTCAGGGACAGAGGATCTGAAGCAGACTCTGTGCTGACAGCAGCAGCAAGCCAGACGTGGGGCTCGGAGTCATGAAATGCGAGATCATGACCTGAGCCGCAGATGGACGCTCAACGGACTGAGCCACCCAGGTGCCTCTCTTTTTCCATTTTAACATCATAGAAAGACATTGGTTGTTTATGGAGTCACAGATTGATTTATAGATGGATACATAGATAAATAGCAGGGTGGACAGTATAATAATAGATAGGGTAAGAGGAAATGTGAGTGCTGGCCAAGGACATGGGTTCTGAAGCCAGACTGCTGCCTGGGATTGAGTCACAAGGTCATATGTGGCCCAGTGTCCTCATCTGTAAAATAGGATGATAAGTGTACAAACCTCATGGAGCCTTGCACAAAGTGAGCCAGTTATCTACCCTCACCAGAGGAGATCGGAAAGAATCACTTGCCAGGGGCAGTGGAGATGATGGGCTGGGCTGAGTCTCAGATGATCAGTAGGAATTGGCAAGAGAGGAGGGAGATCATATTCCCATTCCAGCAGAGTGGGGTCTGTGGGTGAGGAACAGGGCATCTGTGAAAAAGGTTTTTATGTGATTTATATTTTTTGAATCACTACTGCTGGCATATTTGAAACATAGGTGAACACATGTATGGAAGTCACAGTGGCTTTTTCCAATCCACAGAACATGACTAGAGTGCAAGAAGGTCCAAGAACATCTTGTGACATCTCCCTGTCTCCCCAGGGTCTGTAGTCTTCAGCTGGACTTATTGCTGGAATCCTTTGTATCGTAGACCCAGGCCTTGCTTTCCCTCAAGAGTGTGATCCAGATGGAGAGGCAATGAACGTTTTCAAACAGGGGAGCCATGATGGGAATGGTTGTTCAACATCTATTTCAGTGAGCCCCCGTTCAGTATGCCTTTTTGTGTAGCTGACGCTAATAAATAAAAAAAAAACTACATTTCCCAGACTTCCTGGCAGCTATGTAATTTAGGTTCCACCAATCAGATGTGAGCCGAATTCCGGCCTCCTGCAAGTGGGGAAGGAGGCATGGTAGGAAGCTTCTTTGTCACAGGTGCGTCTCTCAGGAGGTCGGTGTACCCCTGAAGCCAGTGGTTCCAACAGTGGCTTCCTCAATCCCCAGATGATATCTGAGGTTGGCAACCCTGGGGCCAGCTGTTGAAAGGGCAGCTTGCTGGTTTGTTCATACAGCTCCCTCCTGAGGGTGGTGGTTTGCTGTCAGGAGAACCCAGTTAGCGCATGTCTGGTGGTGGCTGTATCCTGGACCCAGATCCTGCTTTCTTTGTCACTTTAGATGGTACAGAGTCAGCCCCCTCTCTGTGTCTCCTATCCCCTGCCTGTAGCCCTTTATTACAGTCCTAAAGCCATGTGGTCTCTACAATAGGTTTGGGAAAGGAATCTCTGCACTGGGTCTGGGTTACTTTCACCCCCAGAAGGCACCCGGGCTCCTTAGGGAAATTTCCCCATACCTCCACTTTATGCAAATGTGACCCTTTCCCCTCCTTTCCCCCCCCCCAGACACCCTGCCACAAAGTGATGCCACTTTGTGGGGGAAGAGTGATGTAGCCTTGGGGGCTCATGCTGATACAGCAGGCCAAATGATGTAGGTAAACTACCTGAAATGGAGGGGCAGGAGTTTCCAGGTAATTTAGCGAGGAGGCAAGTTGAGGCAGGAGTAAGGAGCTGTGCTCTGAAGTGGAAAGAGTGATCTTTCAGGATCTCAAACGAAGCGCTTAAAGAGAAGGGAGACGAGTAAACTCTAGGACTGATCTGCGATGGGGTGACCTCCACCAGGCCCGGCAAGGTTTCTACCAGTCCTAGAGACAGTCCCCGTGTGCTTCGTATGGGCCGCGCCCTGCGCTCAGACGCCTGGCCGAGGGCACTGAGCAGGAACTGAAATCCAGCCCGTGCCCCACTTGCCAAGCGGAGCGCCCCAGCGTGGGGCCACGTGCCCCAGGAGGAAGGGCTGGGAGCCTTTGAAAAGCCACACCGAGGTGTCATAGGAGCAGCCCGAGTTCCAGGTGATGGGACGGGGAGGAGAGGCCCAGATGCTGTCCATGTCAAAGGCTTCTGACCCCTGGTGTCCCCTCCCTACCCGAAGGCACAGACACCCCGTGTGCAGAACTCTCTTAGCGGCCTCTCCAGCAGGAGAGCTTGTGCCTGAGACAGCAGTTTGCCATTTTATTACATAAGCACATGGAATGGGCAAGGTGGCGTTGACTTTGTTATTGTTTCCTCTGCCAAGTGTTTTCATGCTGTAAACTGCACATTACGAACCCTACAGTCATTCTTTGGACTTTAAAAATTGCTTAGGAGAGAAGAGAGTGTGGGGAGGGGGGGAGGAGGAAGATGGGGAGACAAAGTCCTCTTGGATCGCAAACTGCCACTTTCGCTTCTAAAGTGACTAACTGCACTTGGTCTTTTGTTCCTTGCTCAGGAAACATATTCAACAAGTATAAAACTGAATCGGGTTGTTGATAGTAATGATTTGAAGGCTCCAGGCTTTCTGTGGTAATAGCAGTGCGGGCTGTGTCTTCTGTCTGGAACCACTTCCACCAGGAACAGACAACAGGTCAGACCGGAATGAGCGGCTTGGGCACCGAGGCCCTCAGCTTGCTGGTAACCGGGAAAACCCTCCAGGGAGCGGGGCCACGCTGGCACAGAGGGGTGTGTCAGCAGCAGCATGGGGGCGGCCCCTGTGCACTCTGGGCACAAAAAATGAAAGAATATGGTTGGTAGAAAGTCCGCTTTGAGGAGTTCCAGCCAAAAATGTAAATCACTAAAAACAAAAGCCCTTTAGAAAAAGCACCAAAGCACGTAAGCGCATTGACTCCATCCATGGCAGACGCTCGGCTCCCCTGCTTGCCGTGCCTGGCATTCACCGTTCCCGTGCGCGCCTGCCCAGCTCCCAGCAGTCAACAGTGGCTGCTCGGGGGACCTGAGACTCTGTCTGGACACAGTGCCTCGCTTCTCAGGCAGGGTGACTCGGATGCATGTCTCTGGTCACCCAGGGTTCCCCACCGGGATTAGGCTTCAACGGCCCACAGTAGCACCTTACTAGCCAACACACCCTTTGGTGGCCTCCTTCCCTTCCCTTCCTTGCCTCGCTTCCCCACTGCCCTACTGACGTCTCCTGAAACCTCCCAAATCGCCCACTGGCACTGGAATCCTCCTGTCCGCGCCAGTGCTGAGGGAACCCAAACCACAAACATCCTCCTGGCTTCATCCGTTTCTTTAAAATCTGCTCTCTTCCTTTGTTGAACTCTGCTATAAATTTCTCATTCTCAGACTTAGCACCAGGCTGGAGTGGCTCCTCTATTCAAACAACTTGTTTGATACAAGGGGTATCCAAGTTTTAAAAGTCCTTGTGTGATTCTTAAGGAACTTTGCCACTTCTTTGATACACTGGAATTTGTCGTATTAGGTATTTGTTCTGGTCCCTGAATCATAGATGAGCTTTCTCTTGGCAAATGTATTTTCTGATAGATTATGTGAGTAGGCTTATGTTTTAAATATATTAGGGGAATTTAGGGGCGCCTGGGTGGCTTAGTCGGTTAAGCGTCTGACTTTCGCTTAGGTCATGATCTCGCGGTTTGTGGGTTCGAGCCCCGCGTCGGGCTCTGTGCTGACTGCCAGCTCAGAGCCTGGAGCCTGTTTCAGTCTGTGACTCCCTTTCTCTCTGATCCTCCCCTGCTCACGCTGTGTGTGTGTGTCTCTCTCTCTCTCCTAGAAATAAATAAAACATTAAAAAAAATTTTTTTAATATATTAGGGGAATTTAGAACTCAAACTAATTCTCTTGTGAGTCCTTTTATAAAACAATCCCAAATTTATGAATTTTCATATACTTTTCTTTCCTTAAAGTGAACTATACCTACCTTGATTTAAATGGGACTTCACCTATGGTCTCCTCCATTTTTTAAAAAATTTTTAAGTGATCTCTGCATCCAACATGGGGCTCAAATTTACAGCCCTGAGGTCAAGAGTCACATTCTGTACCCACTGAGCCAGCCAGGCACCACTAGTCTCCCCCAATTTATTTTATTTTTTTATTTAAAATATATTTTTAATGTTTATTCATTTTTCAAGAAACAGAGAGAAAGCAGGGGTGGGGCAGAAAGAGAGGGAGACACAGAATCCGAAGCAGGCTTCAGGCTCTGAGCTGTCAGGACAGAGCCCGACGCGGGGCTGCAACCCACAAACTGTGAGATCATGACCTGAGCCGAAGTTGGATGCCCAACCGACTGAGCCACCCAGGGGCCCCAGAAAAAAAAAAATTTTTAATGTTTATTTATTTTTGAGAAAGAGAGTGAACACGTGAGCAGGGGAGGGACAGAGAGAGAGGGAGTCACAGAACTCGAAGCAGACTCCAGGCTCTGAGCTGTCAGCACAGAGCCCGACATGGGGCTCAAACTCACGAACCATGAGTTCATGACCTGAGCTGAAGTTGGACGCTTAACCTACTGAGCCACCCAGGCGCCCCTCCCCCATTTTAATGCTACTTCTGCTAGTGTCACTTAGCCTATTTCCAAGGATCTAATACAGAACTATCTGAAATACAATATCATATACAGAGCCTACAGGAAATTAGTTCTGCTCTCCAGCCTCACTTTAGAACTACCGTAATGTGTCTTTTTCTGTCATTACTTTGTGGAGAGAGGCTGTATAAATTACTGACTCTGCCTTCTTCTATTTTTTTCAGCAATTAATCAATAATTAATATTTGAAGTTGTATGGACTAAAGAAAGAATGAGACTGTAGTCCTTTTTTAGAAATAAAATATTAGACTCTCTCTCTCTCTGACCCTCCCCTGCTCACGCTGTCTCTCTCTCTCTCCTAGAAATAAATATAACATTAAAAAAAAAATGGGGCGCCTGGGTGGCTTAGTCGGTTAAGCGTCCGACTTTCGTTTAGGTCATGATCTCACGGTTCGTGGGTTCGAGCCCCGCGTCAGGCTCTGTGCTGACTGCCAGCTCAGAGCCTGGAGCCTGTTTCAGTCTGTGACTCTCTCTCTCTCTGACCCTCCCCTGCTCACGCTGTCTCTCTCTCTCTCCTAGAAATAAATAAAACATTAAAAAAAAAAGAAATAAAATATTAGAGCTCATCTCAGTATAAAAGTAATGTATATACAGAGAAAACTAGAATTCAGAAAAGATGAAACTTAGCATCACATTTTAGTTTATTTTCCTTTTATCTTTCTATGTACAGCTTTTGTGTTTTTATTAGCATCATAGCATAAGCGTGTTCTATGTTATTTCTTATTGGACATCAGACATCATCTTTTTTTAATGTTTATTTTTGGGGGACATGGGTGGGGGAAGGAGCAGGGAGAGGGGGAGACACAGAATCCGAAGTAGGCTCCAGGCTCTGAGCTGTCAGCACAGAGCCCGATGCGGGGCTTGAACTCACGAACTGTGAGCTCATGACCAGAGCTGAGATCAACAGTTGGACGCTTAACCGAATGAGCCACCCACGCCTGCCAAGATGAGTTTCTGTATGTCTCCTGTGCACATACTGAATGCTTTCTCTGTGCCGGGCACCTTGAAGGAGCCCAAGATGAATAAGACACAGTATCTATCCGCAAGGAGCTTGGCATCTGGAAGAGGAACACAGAGCTGTCATCCATAAATAACAGCAATTTGTAAGACATTTCTACCCAGGTTATTAGGAGAGCACAGAGGAGCAAGTCTCTTGAGTCTAGCTAGTGAAGGGTTTTAGAAGCATGAGTAAGATTTTTCCAGACAGTGCAGATAAAGACAGTAAGAAAGTAAGTCAGGGAAGTGTGGTAGCAGTGGGAGGAAGGCAGCAGCAGTAGACAGAGCAGATGGGAGAGGCCTCTCCAAAGAGGTGACATTTAAACTGAGACCTAAGTGACCAGAAGGTTTCAGCCGCTCAAAGACCTAGTA